AGATTTTTGTCTCCTTTTTTAGTTGCCAAAAAATTTTTTATTTGAGTTCAAGAGATTTTTTTACATCTCCTGGCAGGATCGCCACTTATATTTTTGCCCTTAGCAAAAGCGTTTTTAAAAAAACAAATTAAGCTGTTGCTTCAACTTTATTCTGTCATCTTTCCAGAACGCCTTCTTACAGAAAAGAGTCTGACTTATTTTACACTTAAGCCTATTTATACTATTCATTATTGTGTATTTAATATGAATTTCATCATGAGTCTATTGGATTGCGATTTTGTTATTATTGAGAATTTAATACCGATATCTGTTTACAAATAGTGATTGGCGATATTTTGCTATTGCTTAGAGTTACTTTTCAATTAAACTATTATGTTTACAGTTAAGTGCTATGTGTGAGCGGTGGCGTTAACTTGCATTACTTATTTTGCGCGGTCGTACGCATATTTGTACATACATACTTACATATAGAGCAGTGCGCTCATATGTTTTCATTGATAATTGGTAATATATTATTACAAGTATATTATATAATATAACATATTGATGTACATACATATGTACATACTTAAATTATTAATTCTGTAACAACTGAAATTAGAAAATTATGAAAATAGTAAAATATCATTTCTTGCAAAATCTTTCATATTTTATCAATGTAGCATTTGTGCGAAAAAATCATATTTTATCAATTTTTCATCATAAAAATCGTTTGTATGGCAAAAATTAATCATGCATATGTATGTGTGGCAGAGAACGTATGCTATAGAGAAGGTTCAATTGCGGACCAGCGTGTGAATTGTCAAAACCTAACAAGATTTTAATAGTGGACTTCACCACATCTGGCTCGGAAGGAGAAATTTTAACAGTGGCGCGTCAACAGAGCTGAGCATTGTATGAAAATTAAGCTCAGAGAGCTGAGCATTGTATGAAAATTATGCTCAGAGACTTGCTTTGATATTACAGCTGCAGGCTAGTCTTTTTTCTTATTTATTGATATGAATATCATTTTGCGAATTTTTATGAATGCATACAAAACTAGATCTAATCAGTTTATTAAAGTAGTATATAGTATATTAAATTATGGAATTTCGAAATAATATTTGTAGTCAATTTGGGCATTTAATAATATTATTTAGTTTTTACCTAATATACATTCCTAATTATAATAATAGAGATTAAATTTATTACAATATATGTATATGTACATATGTACGTCTTTTATCATATTAATCTTGTATAGTCATATGTATGTACGTATTTGAATTTACGCATTTAGAAATTCAAATCATGATTTTATCACTTATCAATACACTATATGTGCGCGCATTGATTTATATGTACACGCATATTCTATGTATACATAAAATTGCCGAACAAATAATGCGTACACAAACCAACATACATACATAAGTTTATGCGTACGCATGTAAATATGTCACCCGCGAAAACTACAAACATTGTTTTACAAAAACAACAATCGTCACAAGTCAATATGTCAGCCAAATAGGCGAAGCCCAAATTTATAGTAAATTACACAACAATTTTCATTCATGAACGCAGGCGTACGTTCAACAAGCAACATCGTTTCTTTCATAATATTATAACAGATACCCTCACATCCCCCCGAGCATGCTTTTGCCTACAAGCGTCTTTTCACGACGATGGCAAAATCTAAAAATCATAAATTGAACAAATTTCTGATATTCCCGCTAGAAGGGGAAAGTGACAACCCCGCAAATATGATTATTAAAATATTTTAGATTAAAAGTGACAACATAGTATATTTGTCGATTTACAATTCAAGAAACTTTTTAAAGAAAATATTCAATATTCCTTTGATTTATGTTTTCATTAAGCCTCGGTTAAGTATCACTCCTCCAATTCCTTTTATCTGCCTGTGTCTTGTTGCATCTCACGTTTTTTTTCTTAATTTTTTAAGGAAAATGACAAATCAACAGTTATAATGGATACTTTCATATTTGTTTACATGCACACATAATTATACAAATATATATGTATAAGAATATTTGCGACCGCTTGGTCTTTTCTTATCGGGTTATGTTAAGCAAGAGGTGAACAAAATCAAAGCCAGATATGTGACTGAACTGAAGCAGTTCATTAAATACATATTTGAGGCAATCCCGACTTCAACCTTTCAGCCCGCATTAAATTTCTTATTAGGTGTCGCATATGCGTGGCTGAGCATGGAGGAATTATTAATTGTATAAAATAAAATAAAATTTTCTATACAATACAAAAAAATTTAATGTAATGCATTGATTAAAAAGAAACTTATAACGGGTTATTTTTGTAGCACGGTTCGTGAGCCGCCCTGTATATGCAAAATATCTTAAAATTATATATAAATTCGTTTGCGCATTGTAAATATACGAATCTGTTGGCGTACATTTCTTAACATTGAATTTAGCATTATTTTTCTCATTTAACATTCAAAATGCTCAATTCTGCTATTTTGCGCTCCGCAGGGGTAAAATTTTGGTGAAATCCGCTTATAATTTGTTTGTGGTGAGATCCTTTTAAGTTGGCGAGTAACCCTCCGTCAAGAGGAACATTTTGACAATCGGCACACTATGAACCTTCTCTATGATATACGTTCTCTGTGTGTGGTGGCATTTGTATTTTTTGTTTTCTCATTCATTTCGCTTCATTTTTCTTTTTATGTTGGGAGATACGTAATTTGTCAGAGAACGTTGTTATAAAATCTCATTTCTGTTAAATAACAGCAAATATTACAGAAAATGGTGAACTCCTTGATCTCAATTTTTCAACCAACCAATCATAAAAAATTCAATTTGCACCTTCTCGTTGTTTCACTTTCACACGCTGGTCCGCCATTGAACCTTCTCTATAGCATACGTTTTCTGTTCGAACTTACACTTAATTGCTCTTTACACGGCAACACTCTAAGTGCACTTTCACACAGGGATTCAAAAGAGTCTGATTTTTTTCAAATTTTCTTTTGGTGTCGCTCTGGGCATTCACACAGTCAAAGAGAGTCCAGCAACTCGAGTCTAGTTTTTCTGCATTCCTTTTCACAAAATTTTCGTAAATATTTGTGCGGTTCGACTGCGCAACACTGCGTGCTGCGTATTTCATTTGTATGTTGAGATGATGGTCACACATTTTGCTTGCAATGAATTACCATGAATATGGTAGAACAATATGCGTAATACAAGTACCTACCCGCTAAATAGTTTCAAAGAAATACTAAAGACGGGAATTCCCTAATCCACAAGAATGTATTGGATATCCGCTACTAATATTTTCAAGGCCAAATTTATAATAGGAATTTTTTAATCTTTAAGTATTAAAAACTCATAATTTCTTTACTCCGTATTAAAAATTCATAATTTCTTTACTCCATAATGTATATCTTAATTTTCTCCTTATTTACAATTTTTGAAAATATTTCTATTATTCTATGCATACATATTTGCATATCACATACAAAAAATAGATAACAGAATTCAAATTTGCGATCGAATTCATTTGAAACCGAGCGGTCTTGCAACCATTCAAAGGATTTGAAAGTGAAAAGGAATGCTGAAAAGGGTAGCAGCGAGCTGTTACGAACAAGAACACAAAGCGTGCCTCCCGAACACGAGTGGCACGGTCCCTTCGTCTTTCCTCGTCGTTCCCTCGCCCACAATAAACTGGTATGAGACTCTTTTGAGTCCCTGTGTGAAAGGGCACTAATTAGAACTGTGTCTGCTGCACATTCCGTTAAATTTTTAACAAAAGTTCGCTAAGGGGTTGAGTTTCTATTGATAGCCAAGATGGCCGACTTTTAACTGTAAAAAAAAAAAGTTGTCCAAAAAATATTGATTATATGTAAAACTTTAATATGTTTTCAAAATAAAATAAGTTTATTTTAATATATGTTCTTAAAAAAGCGGCTATTATTGGCAAATTTCAGAATAATTACGATATATATTTATGCCTTTTTTTAACTGTGGTAACTTAATAAATATTCACCACAGAAAAATGTAAGGTGCAATTAAGCAACCATGTCAAATACGGGATGCAGAAAATGCTTATTCAACGAAACTGAAGGCAATGTTTATAAATTTGCAATACAATCTTCGTAAAATAATGAATATTTAATATTGCTCCTGATAAAACTGCTCACGCAAGAATTTTTATCAATAAGCAGGTGTGTATTAAAGCGTTTGACTAAAAGTTATTAATTTCAAATGCCAGTATTGCTATTGAGCATTACGTATCAGTGTTGCGGAAGCTAATTTTATATTACTTTTTAAAAAAGAAATATATCTACCGTATGTTATACCCTAATAAAATGTTTTATACTATAAAGATATTGCAACTTCAACAAATAATTTATTTTAGGAATCTATATATTTAAAAACTAAATTTAGAACTATATAACAATATGGTAATTGATTTATGTAAAAAGTTATATGTAAAATATTGCACATATTATAATGGCTACAGGCTGAAATACAGAGACAACTACCTGATATGCCTACCGTATTTTAGACTATAAAGATATTGCAACTTCAAAAAATAATATATTTTAGAAGTCTATATATTTAAAAACTAAACTAAGAACTATATAATAATATGGTAATTTTGTATGTCAAAAGTTGTAATAAACTATTGTACATATATCCACCATTAATTGCTGATATATAAAACGTAAATAAAATTTGTGATTAAATAAATCTATACTTAAATTAGAGCACTAGTAAAATTTCTTGATATAAGTACAATAATAAATTTTGCTTTATTGTTTAAATGAATTATTATCACTTGTATGGCAATGATAAGTTTTGCTTTTTTGATTATATAAATTATTATTACTTAGAGTATCAAATTTTGTTACAATAGTTATTTCTTCCCGTCCACTCATAGTTAAATTGAATTTTCAGTTTGCCCATTAATAAGTTATTTAAAATGCTTAAAAATATGCCGCATATTTACCTATATCAACATGGTATGATATTATATATTGTTAGCATTAAACATCAATTATTAACCAAAATTTAAAATATTTATAAATAATTATTTAGGCGTTTTCTGCTATGCGCAACCCGTTTTAGCCCCTCGCCACCCTAACTCACCATGGCCATCATGTTGATTTTATTGTGAACGTACACCTCAGAGGTGGCGAAACTATTGTGAATAGGACTTTCGCTACTCCTTATACCATGCAGTTTATCGTCAATTTTGATTTGTTCTGATGCTCGTGTTCGCCACAAAATAAACCCATATAGAATGAGGAATCTGTATTTGTGAAAAAAGTATGATCTCAGGTAAATAAGTCATAATTTAGACAATGTCAATTGTTTCTACTAAATAAATTTGTAAAAATTAATGCGAGCTTTGCCGGGATTGTTGAATTAATTCATTTAACATAATAGAAAACCGCTTGTAATATGAACCAATATTTTGTGGAGTCAACTGGATGTCAACCTCAATTGTACGTTTTCAATCAGATTTTTAAAGCGGTTGAAGGCTTCGAATACGTGCGGCGTTTTATTACAGATAGCTACGAGTCTAAGCAACAAAAACATTTTTTGGAATTCTGGTATTCAAACGGTGATAACATTGTATCTGAAAAATATTGGGATAAGCAACGTAAAGGAGAATGTGTATGATATGAATTGAGTCTCAAAAAAATGTAAGAGTTTATAAAAAATTTCTTTTTAGGCGGAGGATTTATTAAATCATGACTCCGAAAAAGTAATTGATGAGTCTGAGGAAAAAGGAGCTCAAATTTGGGAAGAGCACTATAAAAAGATATACATAGATCAATATCAGTTATACGCATTAATATTTTATGAATATTATAAACATTTGCATAAATCTTTAGATGAAAAAAATATTGAGTACATAGCTGATAAAGTTCAGGAACATAATAGTTTTACGGAAGATTTCGCACAATTGGAACTGCTGGGACTTCCCACTGCATTTGGTAAAGCCAGAAGTAACAGGAAAGCACATTCCCAAAGATACGATAACTTGGAACACGTGTATAGCGGTTTTTTCTCTGATCAGGAAGAAGATTTTGCAAATATGTACACTCAAAATTTACAAGAAAATAAACCCAAAGATCTCGATGAAAAGGCTAAGGAAACATCAACATTATATGATATTAAAGAGAAGATTATTAAAAAGAAGAGGGAAAACCGAAAGCTCCGAAATGTACCGGATTTTCTATTGGCAAATAAAGGAATGCTAAAATATTGGCGAAAACGCTTTTCCCTATTTTCACGATATGATGATGGCATTCGGTTAGATTGCGAAAGTTGGTTTTCGGTTACACCTGAAAAAATTGCTGCTCATTTGGCCGAACGTCTATCATGTGATGTAGTTATCGACGCCTTCTGTGGTTGCGGCGGAAATGCTATACAATTCGCTCGCACTTGTAAGCGAGTTATAGCAATAGATATCGACCCTGTAAAAATAAATATGGCGAAGCACAATGCCAAAATTTATGGAGTAGCCGATAAAATTGACTTTATTATTGGAGACTTCATGCAAATAGATCGTACAGGCAATTTTCGTAGCGATATTGTTTTCTTAAGTCCTCCCTGGGGAGGTCCAAAGTATAAACGAAAAGAATATTATGATATTGAAAGTTACTTACAACCTTCGGGTGCATCGAAACTAATGGAAATCGCCAAGCAATTTAGTGAAAATGTGGTCTTCTATTTACCTCGAAACGCTTGCATTAAGCAAGTCGTTGAACTAGCTGGTGTGGGAAACAGATGTGAAGTAGAACACAATTACTTAGATTCGCGGCTAGTGGCTATATCTGTTCTATATGGCGAAAATATATTAAAAGTAAACTACTCATAATGTACAAGTAATATTGTATATATTTTTGTTGTATAGAAAAACTTTTGAAATTAACTATTTCTTCAGTAAAAATTATTAAGTATACGTTTGACATCAAGACAAAATTGGCACTACTTTCGAAATGAAATCATTTACAATTTATTGTAGATTTATCAATACGTCTTTACTTGTTTGCTGCTTGGACGATACTTTCAAAAGTTTTTTTTTTTCTAATTGCCAAAAATTAGAATTTCAGTTAGATTTAAACACACAGAACACAAAGCAGCAGAGCAAATTTATTTCAAAACCTAATAGCCTGCGCAAATTGAAACATACTTTTGAATTATATTGCAAAATATTCATTAAGTAAATTAATTCGTTTTAATTTTTTTTATTTTTATTATTTCGATTATTGCCTCTTAACCGTAGAAGATAATACGAATTCTTTTGTTTTTATACAATATATATGTATTTAATGAGAAATATATATGTACATGTTTATTTACAAAAAAAAAAGTACAAAGTAATCAACTATAATATAATATTTAAATAAATATATAATTTTTATATTCAAGGACTTTTCATCCATAATTTCTTGAATGAACTCATACCCATATAAAAACGTATAAAATAAATACGCAAAGCGTTATTTCTTTAAAATCATATAATAACCGCAAATATTTTATTTATATATATTTTTTTATGTCCTGGTGTGTTGACTGATGGGGTAAGAATGTTGCTAGACTATCTATTCCCTTGGAACACCATCCTTTTTGCTTCCATAACATCGCCTTTTAAAATCACTAAGCAAACAATTTTGTAAACCTTTTTGGTCAATATTAATAGATTGAGTCGTATTGCTGTTTGATTTGAATTGAAATACTTTTTTATAGGCGTAAACATAAATAAAAATATAGATGTTACCTGGTCTTGTTAAGTATGGCATATCCATTTGCCAATGAAATTTGTAGAGAGTACAATGTAGCCAGATTAAGTAAACTTTCATGCTCGTATATTTCTATATCGGGCAAACGGATTTGTGTTTGTCTTGGATCCTGCAAAAATCGAGCAAGGCGCTCATTTACACTCGTTTTAATGCTAAAACCAGGTCTTTCATCTTTAATGCGTCGACATCCAGCCCGTATTTCTCTAATTTCATTTATATGTGATGGTGGCGAAGAAAAGAATGGATTTGACGTTTCGCCTGACATTTCGCTTTCTATTTGATTAAAAGGAATAATGCCCTCATCACATATTCTACGGCCCAAATCAAAATTTTTGTTCGTGATAGCGATTGGTTCTGATGGTCGATAGCGGAGTTCCAAGTTATCATTTGAAATATTAGGTGACCAATCATCACTACCTAACATCATTGTATCATCTTCACCCATTATAGCAGTAAAACAGATTTCATCAGATTTTATGAGGGAATTAGTATTTTTCTTCGTAAGTTTGCGTTTAGTATCATTTTTATTGTCAGCGGGGCCACTAACGCACTCATTCCCTGGCCAATCTGTTAGTTCATCGTCGCCTTCACGATCGGTATCGTTTGCACTTTGTGCGTCATCGGAATCGGAAGAACTTAAAGAACTAGAACTTAGAAAATCATTTATATTACTACAATCCATGGAGTGCTGTTCAACAGCAAACTGTAGTTCTTGTAGCTGAGAACGCCGATATTGGCTACGTTTTTTACGAAGATTTTTGAATTCTTGTTGTTGCGCTGGTATTTGTAGACACATTGTAGAGCTGTTTTTTTCAGTATTGTTTAAAAAGGAAGGTGGAGATTTTTGCTCATATTCAGTCTTTTGTAATTGTGATATTTTTTCTATTTTCGACAGAAGACCTTTATTTAAGGGCAACAAACGGTCGCTATTAGGTTTTGATGTGGAAGAATAACTTCTTGGACGTATTTTATTATCATCTATATGCGTATACCGAGGCATACTCGTTGAGTGAGACTTCGTGTTATCATAATCTTGGTATCGATCACGATTGGATCGTTTACGTTTTCCACAGAAAAATAAATTGTTGCGGATAACAGGATCGGGCTTTAAAACACGCTTCCTCATTGTAACACATCCAGTCGCACTAGCTGCAATTGTTGATGACGGATGAACACTTTTATCGGAGTTCTGTATAGGCGCTATAATACCTATATCACACTCCATAGACATCCTTTTAAATTTCCTTTTTCTCCTGGCATTAGGTTTAAAAAATCTACGTTATGATGAAAAAATCATCAAGCATTATGTAGTTTGTATTTAGGCCTTACCTTGAAGGACTGAAAGTCTCATTTAATGAATCTGATTCTAGTGTACCTAAACGAAGTGCTGTTTTAACAGACGACTTAGTAGGGAAATGTGTTTCTTTATCATCGGAATCGCTTATATTAGGTAATTTAATATTTTTTATATCCAAGTCATCTATATTCGTTGTTTTTCTTACATCACTTGGACTACTAGAAGAGTCTTCTTTCTCTGTTGGCTGTGGGGCACATGCTTAAGTATATAAATTAAAATTAATTTTTGTTCAATTAACTTTATAACGTCTTCAAATATTTTATATATAAATTGCACAAGATGATTATTTAATATATTCAATGTATAGGTGCTTCAGAAGTGTTTTACTTACGCAAATTCCCTGCAGAACGAGTCCTTCTACGTTGGCCCCACCTACTTACTCGCACCCGATCTAACAAAGAAGTCTCTTCCATCAAAGCAACCGTCAAATCATGCGAAAACTGGTCCATTTTTATAGAATTACTTGGCCTGTACTTTTGATTAACAATACATACAAAACAAATTCATGAATTTGTCTAGAAAGCTTGGAATGATGACAACTAATGTCAACGTACCGAATAACTTGAAGTTGCAATGTTTTTAATGACTGAATCAATACAGGGCTAACAATACGAAAATAAAATGAAAGAAGCAACCCTGCAAGCAATTGCTGATGGAATCCCCAAACACTCATAATAATTAGAGCAGTCTGTATGGTCAGTTAATAGTTCAATTTACCGTCATTGAGATTGTTGGAATCGAAAGGGTTTTAATGCTAACGCAAAAAAGCAAATATATGGTGTGTCAAAAGGAGGCAAGACACATTTTCATAGGAGTTTCATAGAAACTGTTCAATATTTATATTCAAAATAAACACGGATTTCGCTAAACGGTAAAAAATTCGATTTTGACATCGCGTTAGGAAGTGAAGTTGACTACAAAAAACGCAGAAGAGTATACATATTTAACATTAGTTTCAAAAACTGGATATCCTATATGTACATATATATTTTAATTATAAAAGATTTTCAATTAACTTTTAAAGTTCTATATAACAAAATATTTTAATATTTCAAAACCCTTACATGTTTTAAATAATCGATACATGAAGTATGTTAAGGTTCTTTTTCAAAGCTAGGTATATATTTAATAAACAAAAAATCTTCTAATAATAAAATAATAATTTATTCGGAAGTCAAAGTTTAAATAACACTTGCGGGTCAGCTGCATATTTACACAAGTATAGTTATTCAAGGAAAAATAGTTCCTTATATAAACTGACAGTAATATTGATCGAAAACTATTAGTGTTATTGGGAGAAAAGTGTGGTATGTTCGATTTACTAAAAATATGGCACAAACCATCCCCCGCCTTTCTTATAATATTACACGTATTCTTTGGTCAATATTACTGTCAGTTAATATAAGGAATTATTTTTCACTTTTTAGTTTGAAGTGCTTTAAAATCATGTTTTTTACTATTTTAAGTCAAACTAATTATTTAGCCACCCTCTTTAAGGATGTGTTTGAGTAGATATGTTATTCAAATGAAATCATGATAGTTGATGGTTTTAGCTGCATAGTTTTAGGAGCCTTTTTTTGCAATATATATAACAATACCCAATCGCCTTCAATAAAACCTTCAGAGTTCATTCTCTTGTCGTATTTAACTTTCATTTCATCGCTCATAATTTTTGGTGCGCCGTCTCCCCATAGTATGTACAAGTATAGCCCTCACCTCGGCTTCTACGATGCTGTTGACTTCCTTAGCATTCCTTCCTACGGTGGCGTTAATTCCAAACTTCCAATCAATCGGTAACTGAAGATAATTACCAAAAATTACCCTTGTTGCAGTCTTCCCCGTTGTTTCATGTACAGCAGACCCATATGTTATCAGCAACTATATCCGTGGGTATCCCAATCTTTTTGATAATTGCCTACCATTTTCTTCAAAATTTCTTTCAACGTTCGATCGATTCCAGTTTCTGTTACATCCCCTGAATTAAAGCTGACTCGAAATTACCTTCTTAGTCAGAAGGTAATTTCATTGGAACACCGTATCTTGTTACCCACTAGTCCATTCGGCCTCTGGATTAGGAGTTGATAATTGACTCTGACAATTCGCAATAATTTGTAAACTTAAATAATATCTAGTTATCGAACTCAAGAGTGAGTTACAAGGTAGACGATTTAACGAGAACTGTTACAATTGCAGTTAGAAGTGAGTTTGTCAAATAAATTTCCAAGGAGATAATTTGTCAAAAACGATCTGAAAATTCCAAAATTGAAAATGTGGCTGCAGCAACGTGGTTTGACAACAAATTGAGTAAGTCCGAATTACAATTATGTTGACTAATACGATTGCAATTACAAGAAGAGACTACGAAAATACCATAGAAGAAAAGGAAGAGATTCAATGCTCGTTAAAAATTATGGACATGAACATGCTTTTTGCTGCAATGTTGCAGGTGTCAACACAAATGACCAGATGTCAACGCAAATATCGACACAGTTTAAATAGCAGGATGCACGTATAACCCAACAAATAGCAGAGGCGTCAACAATCCCAATTGTCCTAATTAGAAACGCGGTTGTCAACGCAGTTGCATGTATATCAGCACAGATGACCTTACAAATAGCAGAAATGTCTTCACAGATCTCGGAAGAGCGGGATACAATTAAAACTGAGATTGAAAAATCGTCTCCGCGAGCTACAACTAAATCGGCCAATTATGTCAACCGATTCTGCCAAGGTAAAACCTCCATTCTTTTATGGCACAGTTCCGTTCTATGTTTTTAAGCTTTAATTCGAAAAGACGGCATCTTCAAATAATTGAAACGCTGAAGATAAAGTAGCTGCATTGTTTGTTGAATTAAAAGGATCTGAATTGGAGATGTTACAACCATTCCAAACTGCGATGCGGGTAGTTATGAAACGTTGATGGGTGCATTAGAAAGACGGTATGGTAGTGAGCACAGGAAGCAGATCTTCCAAATCGAGTCGCAAAATCGTCGCCAGAAGATCTGCTTCCTGTGCTAACGAGTCTTTGCAGGCGTTTTCATGAGATGTTATCTCATCGAAGACAATCTCAAATCCAACAAAT